CAGGTGTCCCCTGGTCCAATTCACTTCTAATTTTGGCCCCGAGGAGCATTGCAGTCAAGGGCAGTTTGAGCCGGAGGTGGGTGATTTGCTTCTCAGATTTTATTCTGGAGCGGTGAAATGCGCATGGAAGGCCAGCTCTTCCCTCTTCTCACGGGGATCGACTCCTGCCCATCTACTCCTCTCTATCTGCAGAGATGATTGTTCCCATTGTGGACATCTGCTGCAGAGTTTATTTTTATTTTTTTTAGATAACTCCCATTTGGGCCAAAGCCTTGCTATCCCCATTACACGAATCCAGCGTCGATTCTCTTGTCTTGCACCAAGCCAAGGACCCGATCGGGTGTGTAAGGCAGCAGGCTCAGCGCTGCTCTTTTGGGGTCCCACCAAGGAAGAGGCATCGTTTCCACAGCCTGGCCTGTTTCTTGTGGTGGGGGGGTGTCAACATTGCCTGTCCTCCTCCAGGTGCAGTGTTATTGCAGCGTGTCAAAGATAGTTCCAATCACCTTCTCAAAGTAATCATCCCTTCAAGCTAAGGTAGGCAAAAAAAAAATTGGTCAATATAAATCTTGGAACTGAGTCTTGCATATTTTGTTGTTGTTGTTAGAATTTTATTGCTCAGCAGAGTCCCCAAAGAGTAAGGCTGCTTGTCAGCATACTTAGGACCAGAGCAGAACCTCACCTAAAAAGATGCGGCTCCCTTTCTCACTCCAGTTTAGCAGATACATTTTGTTCTTGATAAAGCTTTCTTTTTCCCCCTTCACAATTAGTTTGCCCTTGGGCACGAAATGCCAGCTGAACCTCTTGGAGTTTGCAAACCTTCGGAGTAGGGTTCCAAAGAGCTCGTCCGTGGGGACACACTGCGTTGTATCCTCACCCTGCAGTTGGTTGGGTGTAGTTGCACAGTCCCTTTTGTTCGTTTTGGTGGATGAAAAATGAAGTAGATTCTGCCCTAAGACCGAAATTCAGTCTTTCAGGAGCAGCAGCAAAGTTTTGGGGCTATCAGAGGAAGCTTTGGTTCTTTCCAGGGTGTGAGGTTATCTGAAAACCTCCTCTTGCATTAGCTGTGCCAAAGAGGTTAAGTAGAGGTTGCTTTTTTTATCTGTTACCTTAAAAGGGTTTTATGGGTTTATTTTTTGTTCGCTGTTTGTTTGAAAGGATAATGTTTTCATTTGTAAGTGGCTTGTTGTGTCCACAGGTGGAAACATAGGCTAGCAAAACATGTCATGGAAGAAGGTTGCTCTTAGCCCCTTTCTGGCGCAGTTGGTGGGAGCACAGGGGAAGCGATCCCTTGTGCCACCCTGGACGGCTTTTCCCCCCGTCGGGCGAGGTAGCCCTTCTTCAGCCATCTTTTGGCCTCCTGAGTTAATCCCCGGATTCTAATTCTTCCTACTTTTCCATCAGCCTCTCGGTTTTTGGAGATCGCTGCTAGATTTGGAGCCTGCTCTGGATGTCTGGAAAGAGAAGATCATCTAAGCTGCTCTGAATATTAATGAAATTGAAAATGCAGCAGGCCACTGTTTTGGATTGCTCCCCGATAGCCCTGAGCGCCTCTGATGGGCTCCTAAGCACTGAGAAATCCCAGGATCTGTTCCTCCGCCTTCCTTCGCAGGAGATGCCAAAGGGCAGCTTGGACCTCCTTCCGCGTTAGTGCCAGGGGCCTCCTTACCCGCCTCGTCCTTCTGCAAAGCATGGATGGCGCTTGACGCCTCAGGAGAAGATGGTTTCGCCCTTATTGAAGCATCTGCTGTGCAGCTTTGGAAGTCAGAGCCCACGGAGGCTTCGGGCCCTTTGAAAGTGAAGCGGGTGGACGAAGATGCCGCCAGCCGGCCCCTCCAGCAGGCTCGGACCGGAGGAGGAGCTTAGGAGGGGGGACTGGATGGGGTGGCCCCCCCCCCCGAAGGCATCTTTCACTGGAGCTCGGTGGCTTTATCAGTTCTTGGGGGGAGGCGGGAGGATCTAGTGTGGGATTTGGATGACCTGGTGAGGCTACAAGGTGGCATTTTAACCTTTTTTCCGCCAGGCAAAACAACAGAAAAACAAGACTAAAATACCTCTCTGGGGTTTTGCAGTTGGAACAAAGGAAGCCACCTTCTTAAACTGCACTCAGAGCGAAAAGCAGGCTTTGGGTTTAAGCGTGTGGCTTGAGCTGAGATGGAGTGCTTCTAAAAAGGACTCCGGTACCTTTTACTGTCCACCTGAAACTGGGATGTACAAAAGTAACCAAAGCGTTTCACGGTTCAAGCAAAGGGGGGGGGAAGGGAAACGGGGCATGGGAGGGCAGTGAAATATAGGATCACTAAACTGAACACTGGTTTTATTTCTATATATATATGTGTGTGTGTCTGTGTGTGTGTGTGTAAAAAAATTGGATCAGCAAGATAGAGAGACGTGCACTTGCTAAAAAAAAGTTTCAAGGAGCTGGAAATGTGTGCCCAAGCGGTTGTGCAGCTTTGGAGTTGAATCCTTGTGATGAATTGCTTTTTGAGAGTTCCCAAAATATTTGCGAGCTAGAAACGGATTTGTTTTTAAAAGGGACGGAAAATTCCTGCAGACGGATTCTCCGTCCTCTCCCTGCCCAAGTAGGTATTTGGATCCTCCTTTCTCCCCCGGCCCCCCAAGCCTCGGATTCTTTTTCTCTGTAAAGGGTAGTCCCGATTCTCACAGAATTTAATGCGGATTAAACGTCCAACAATTCTCTTTTTTAATATAATGCCATCTATTGGTCATAGCTATGGGAATAATTAGAAGGTTAATTAACTTTATGAGGAATTCTTGGAAGCAATAGTGGTTCAGCATTATCCCCAGAAAAACCTAATCAAGATATTTACTCTCCTTATTAACTCATTATTTATAAGGGTTGGCGTGTTAGCTTTCATGAGTGCCTATAAAACACCCTTGGTAAATATATCTAAGCTGAATATCTCTTCATTAAAACTTTAGGGTTTTTTTTGGAGGCATAGTTAGCGTAATGAAATGGCTCAGGTACTTGAGGAGATGGCCTATGGTGGAGTTTGGGTCTTTGGGTTCCACAGCTCTCCAAGGGGGAGGGGGTTGCTGGTGTTGGGAAGCAACACAGAAGAAGGTTAGATAAGTAGGGTAGATATTCCCCTCGCCCCCAGAAATGCAAGATTTTTGTGTACTGGATAAAGAAGCCTCCAAATTTCCAAACCCTACTTGTGGTCGGGAAAATTACTGTTGATTGCAGGTATGTCCAACCTTGGCAACTCGTGGGACTTCAACTCCCACAAGTCCTAAAGTTGCCAAGATTGGACATCCCTGGTTTATCAGATCTGATCTAGTCCAATATTCTATTAATATATATCTTTATGACCTAATGACCTTTGTGGACTTCAGTAACATCTTGCAGTGATTCTGGAGGAAATGCTCACTTCGTGTTGAGTTCGTTTTCTTGCAGTGCACCCAGAGAGATGCTTTGGTCCATATTTTATCTTTAGCTGCAATTGTGTAACGGAGGCGGGCTTGAACCTTCGGGAAAGCTAAGGTTCAACCTGTAGATGAGAACGTGGATGATTTCTGTCCAGCTCGGGTCACAGGAACCCAATCCGATTTGACTCAATATATTGGCATAATTTCTAACCATCAGAAATTCTTTCTTGTTGCTGCTGGTGTCAAAGGCAAGTCTGGGCACTGTCATAAAACAATAAAATAATAAAATAACATAAAATAAAATAACAGGCATCCATCCTATTTGGAAGACCTTCACCTTTAATTATTCCACCAATAACTGCCATCTGTAATTTGTTTAAATTTTTTCCCTACCTCTAGTGGTCTGAATACACTAAAAGAAACAGATTTGGGATTTGGGGCTGTGTAAAGATTTGTGCAATTAATCAGGATGTGACATGAGACATTTCAGGGTATTTATGGGTTGCTAATTGTAGTGCACAGCAGCATATTCAGAAAGAAGCTTTAATCTTCACAAATCCTTGTGGTGAGGAACCACCTGGTCACATCTGAAATAGAAACTTGCTAAATGTGTTCTGCATTTCCATCCTGTGTGTTCCATGTATTTCACACCCATATATCAAACTGCCATTTCTCTGTAGTCCACAGTGCTTGTTTAGAGGTGTTTTTTTAATGACTGATCTCCAAACAATTTGTGTTTTCACCCCCAAATGTTCAAGTTTCAGAAATTCCTTTAAATAGCCCCCATGTTCTTACTCATTGCAAATAAACAGCAGCTGCAAACATAACCTGTCAGAATTATTTTAAACCAACTCTGTGTTTAATTAGGATTTTTTTTAATGTAGGCAGGAGACAATTGGTTTGCTCATATTTGGGGGAGCAGTTATCCTGCTGAAGTAATTTCTGAAACAACTTTTGAGGCCGATGTTTTCCCTGCATGTTGAGAGATAAGATGTTTTCTGAAAGAGGCTGCAAGTTATATTTAAACATTATGAAATGGAGTGGACACTTTCATGTCAGCACGTGCACAGAAGGCGCACAAATTACTGAATGTAATGCAATAGCCCCGAGCTTTTTACGGAGACAGGTGCCGTAAAGGCATCAGCACGTCATACACAGAGCACTTAAGATCTGGACAGACAGAACATTTGCTTGTAAATCCCCCCCCCCCACTTCCACCCCTCGGTTTCCTATTCAGCTGCAATGAACCTTTTTGGGGTGCCTAAAAGGGGGAAGGCTTTTAAACCCCAAATCTTGAAAACGGGATCAAAAATTGCCAACCATCTTAATTAACAGGAAAAATGGAAGAAAGTTGTTGGCTGCTTGCAACGAAGGCTGAATTCAGAAGGAGAAACTGCCCGTTTTAAACATTTAATGACAACATTTGCTGTAGCTGTACACATTGGGTTAGGTTCCCTTTGAGATTGGCTTGCAGATCCCTGCATGGTCCTGCGTTGGTGGTGATGGTGGTAGCAGGAGGAACAAGCAAGCTCTGACCGGAGGCCCTTTGCCTTCTTCCCTTCCTTCCTTCCTTCCTTCCTTCCTTCCTTCCTTCCTTCCTTCCTTCCTCCTAGATCTTTGGTTGAAGAGGAAGAGCCTCACATGAAAGTGACTCTGGGGAGCAGCGATATGGGCTTGTCTGCTCACCTGCAGGCGTCAAAGGCAGGAACCACCCGATTCTTCACCAGCAACACTCACAGCTCCGTGGTCCTCCAGGTGAGTGCACGCCCGCCAGGTGAACGTCTTCCTTCCGTTCCGTGGGGGAGAGTTTCCTCCAAGGACTGGTTTGTTTGGCGGTGTCACTGCAGCCCAGGTCAGCAGTGGAAAGGAAGCACAGGATGGGCCCCCCTCCTTGGTCCCGGAGGACTTCCTCTCCCTTGCTAATTAAACATGGCGGTCGGATGGGGGCGTGGCTGCTTCCCCCTGTGATTGAAGGAGGCCCGAGGTTGACCTGGCCCAAGCAAGAGGAGGGAGGAGGGAGGCCTTTGGCCTGTGAATTATGTCCCAACGCCTTCTGGGGAAACTGCCTGTCAGTACCAGCGTGATTGCTCTTCCTATCCTTTCTGCTTCCACTGGCCTGGAGTGTGAAAAAGGCAGCTTCATTATCTAGCGGCCTGCTGTGCAGAAGTCCAGGCCCATCCTCTGACTTCGGCTCTAGATAGCCGCTCTACTGCCCCTCTGGCTGATGCTTTGCGTTTGCAGTGGACACGAAATGAGGCCAAACCCCGTGCCTGGCATTGTGCTCTGCCACCAACTAGGTGGCAAAGTAGGCTAAACACGGCTCTCTCCCTGGGAGCGTTTGAAGGAGTGGGAAATTGCTGGGTGGGCAGGCAGGCCTGGGGAAGAGCTGCAGCTGGTGTGAGAACGGGCACAAAAGCTTTCTGAAGCGGATGGCCGGGCGGAGCTGATGCCCCAGGACCCTGCCTGTATTCTGGGAACATCAGGAGGAGCCTTTTGTTCAGTGGAGGAGCCCAGTAATCCCCCTCTGGCTGGCAGGAGCAGGCCAGCCTCCACACCCCCTGGGTTCCCCAGGGAGGCTGAGCCTGGACTGCTCCAGTTGCGTGGGGCTCCCCGTGGGCCAGCTCCTCGTTCAGTGGGGAGGGAGAGCGGAGCTGACGCCAGCGGTTCTGTCTTGCAGGGTTTTGACCAGCTGCGCCTAGAAGGGTTGCTTTGTGATGTGACGCTAGTGCCAGGCGATGGAGACGAAGTGTTCCCTGTGCACAGGGCTATGATGGCATCCGCTAGTGATTACTTCAAGGCCATGTTCACAGGTAGGGCTCCCTGCGGGTGGGTCAGGTGCCACGCAGGAACCACAGAGGCCACGCGGACACCCTCTCTCTGCCTTTTCCTTTAAGGGGGGGGGGGTTGTTCAGTTAACCTCAGGGGAGAAATGCCATTCTCTCTGGTTTGGAAGAAACTCTGCAAGGAGGCTCGGACTGGCTGTAAACCTAAATTGTGTCTAACTTTTGTTCCCAGGTGGGATGAAAGAGCAAGACTTGATGTGCATCAAGCTTCACGGCGTGAACAAAACAGGTTTAAAAAAGATCATTGATTTTATTTATACGGCGAAACTTTCCCTCAACATGGACAACCTGCAGGACACTCTCGAAGCGGCCAGTTTTTTGCAGATCTTGCCCGTGCTGGACTTTTGCAAAGTGTTTCTTATATCCGGGGTAAGAGAAACGTAGGTCCTGATCTGGCCAAGGGTTTTCCCCAAAAGAGCCGGTCCACGTCGCTCGAATTAGACCAGGAGCAGCTCTTGTGCGGGGCAGCTCCCCACAAAGCACAAAGCTCTCTCGCGCGCACTAAGCACCATTAGTCCTCGTCCTGGGTGCCTGCCGTATCCCACCATTAAATTCACCTTTAGGTCGGTGTGCTTCGTAGGAGGAATGGCGAGTGCCGTCTGTAAACTGTTTCGGAATAGTTCTGCAAATGGGACTCCTGGAAGCAGAACCATTTATCGAAATAAATACATCTGCTCTGCCAAGCGGGAGGTTCTCAGCTGGGAGAGATCAGAAGCTGCACATTGCAAATTGCTTTTGACTGCAGAGGAGCGCTATTTTCAGTTTCGGTGTCTATAACAGCTGAGTTCCTCCGGAGAAGGTGCCACGCAGGCCTCACCCGCAGCCTGGTTTGGGTGACTCCTTAAGGTGGAAATAGGGGTATGTATTTTGACGGATGCTCAAGGATTAGAGTGCGGTTTGGAGAGGCAGAGGCGGCCGAGGTATTCTGCAACTTGCATAGATTTTAAACAGATTTAAAATAATAATAATAATAATAGGATATCTAATGTGCACCTTTTTGGAAACCAGTGGGTTTTTAAAAGATGGTACCATCCAAGTCACAAATAATGAAAATACCAACCATTTATACCAACCAAGGAGGGGAAAAGGGGATTTTCTCAATGTTGGGTTTTCAAGATCCATCAGTTTTAGTGACTGTGGCCGAGAGCTGAAGAAGAAGGAACCGAGCCATTAACTCGGAGAGGAAAACGTGCCCTTTTTCTTTCTCAGGTATGCGACCCTAGAATCCGTTAAGTCCTGGTGAAATACGAGTTGAGACTACACAGCGTGGTGACTTTCTCAGCCTCATCAGCTTTAAGATGTTGAGCATGCAGACTGGAGGATTCTGGGAGTTGAAGTTCACACATCTTAAACCTGTCGAGGTTGAGAAAAAACTGATATGGAGTAAGAAAATTCAGGATGTCTAAATTATGGGCCTATCTGAATGTGAGCCTCCAGGGGAGACCCAAACAGAGGAAGGTCCGTGTCTTTTATCCCTGGATTTAGCAACAGGGCTGCAAGATCTGCAGTCTCTTGGTCCTCCGGGAAAACCTACTAACTTCCGACGTCTTTGCAAATCATCTCCTGTCTCGTTTCTGCTGCTGCTGCTGTTTCAGTTTCCAGTCTTCAACTGGGCTGCTTGCAGCTGATGTCACCTTCAGTTGCTCCCACCTCTTGCTCTTCCATTTTAGCTGCCTCCGACCCTTCCTGCCGCCCCTCCAACGCTTGTCTACATTTTGCAGCTGAGAATTTCCAAGCACCTTTCAGGGAAACCTGATTTAGGTTTTTCTAATCTTTTATTTCCCTCCTGCAAGTTCAGTATTAAGAGGGAAAGTCCGAAAAGAGTCTGCTCTCTTGATCCAGCCCAGCCCAAATGGGGGGGGGGTTCTTCAAGGTAGCATCCCCTTATGGAAACAGATGCAGTCTTACTTGATAACAACAGGCTGGAAGCTGGAGAAGGGCACCAGCAAAACTTCGGGCCAGTATTTCCAGTCTGTGGTAGCTCCAGCACTTGATGTTCCGTGCGCAGAGAGTTGCGGAGGGAATGAAAGCCTTGTGCCGTGCTTCTAATGCTTCTAAAATTGGGACACATTTTGTCTGTTTTGACACGCTGGGGAGTGGCTATAAAGCCCGTGGAGATGGGGAATACTGTAGGTACAGGTAGTATTAAATCACCGTGCAGGTAAGCCCTTCTGTGCTAATAGGTGGTCTCTTCCTAGGTGTCCTTGGAGAACTGTGTTGAGGTGGGGCGGATTGCCAACACGTACAACCTCACCGAAGTGGATAAATACGTGAACAATTTCATCCTCAAGAACTTCCCAGCCCTGCTAAGTACAGGGGAGTTTGTGAAGCTCCCCTTCGAGCGCCTTGCCTTCGTCCTCTCCAGTAATAGCCTTAAGCACTGCACCGAGCTGGAACTCTTCAAGGCCGCCTGCCGGTGGCTGCGCTCCGAGGAGCCGCGCATGGAATGCGCCGCGAAGCTGATGAAGAACATCCGTTTCCCTCTGATGACGCCCCAGGATCTCATCAACTACGTCCAGACCGTGGATTTCATGAGGACCGATAACACCTGCGTCAATTTGCTCTTGGAGGCCAGTAACTATCAAATGATGCCCTACATGCAGCCGGTGATGCAGTCGGAGAGGACGGCCATCCGTTCGGACAGCACCCACCTGGTGACCTTGGGAGGGGTCCTCCGGCAGCAGCTGGTGGTGAGCAAGGAACTGCGGATGTACGACGAGAAAGCGCACGAGTGGAGGTCCCTGGCCCCCATGGACGCACCCCGATACCAGCACGGCATCGCGGTGATCGGGAACTTCCTCTACGTGGTTGGTGGGCAGAGCAATTATGATACGAAAGGGAAGACGGCGGTGGACACGGTTTTCAGGTTTGACCCTCGCTACAATAAGTGGATGCAAGTGGCTTCCTTGAATGAAAAGCGGACCTTCTTCCACCTAAGTGCTCTCAAAGGACACCTGTATGCCGTGGGTGGTCGGAACGCAGCCGGAGAATTAGGTAAGCTCCCTCTCAGGCAGAGAAGCTAATCAGGGCCTCGCGGTCCATTGTCAGGCGGTTCTCTGGCATCAAGATCTATTAGGCCAGAACGTTCCCACCGTCTACGGAGGCGGCTCGACCCGTTGGGAGAAAGGAGCGGCGCTTTAGTCAGACCATCCCTGGCTCTGTGGGGATTTAGTAACCGCGGCATGGTATATATACTAACCTGTGTCGTATTTTTAAAGGGGAGTCTTTGGAAATAATAGCAATGGGGCTGCTCTATATTATTATGGTAATGCAGAGTTTAATTGTCTACCTTCCCACATGCCAAGGGGAATAATGAATGGGCCTGTTTGCTTCCGAACAAAGGAATTGTGTATTGATTTTATGCAGGTAGTGCTGATCTGAATTTATTTTAAGCTTTTTTTGTCTGGCGTGTGAAGAATTAAGTGCTGGTGGCCGCCTCTCTTCGTCCGGCCTGAGCATGCAGGCTCACCTCCTGCCCTTGTGAGCAGAGCAAGTGTGAAAAACATCCCCGGGAGCTGTTTTCAACTCCACTCGTGGAGGGAGAGGACCCTCTTCAGGGTGGCTTTGAAGGGCCCTCCTCCTGATAATTTAGCACCTTTTATAAATCCTGGATGTCGGCAGCCGTGTGTCTCCATCGAAGCTCTCTAGGCGAGCAGCTCCCCCGTGGCAGCCTGACAATCCTCCTCTAATTTCTTCCCTCTTGATACGATCTGTCACTTTTCAGTACTTGTCTTCAGGGTTACCTTGAACAGTCTGTGGGCTGTTAAATAGTTTGCATTGATTTCCATAATGAGCTGGATCTCTTGGTAGGGAAGTCAGTCTCTGGCTTGGCAGCCCTGTCCATCCTTGGATTGAAATCGTCCCTTCCTTTTTCGTGGAGTTCTAAGACTTCTATTTTTTTTTCACTTTCGCTACAGATTTCAAAGGCCTTCTAATTTTTCCCTCTTTGAAAGTCTAGAAAGGAAGAAAGACGAATAATGTTTATTCATTATTGATAATGTTTAGATGGCAGGGAATCGGATGTAGCATTCTTGGTGCAAAAACACATCCAACGCATGGTCACGTGGCTCTCTGGCCTTACCCGACTGCCACGCTTGAGAATTTGGCAAGAAGCATTTTTGATGGCCACCTGTGGTTGAGGGTAAGCGCAATCGACATCACCGCTGACATGCGAATATTATTTGCTTAAGATTGAAACGATAAGAAACACGGACGCGGCAGCTCAAAATCCAACAGGCGATTCTATGAAAGTTGACGCTTGGAAATAATCCCCAAAGGCAGGAATGATTAAGGCTTCTTAAAAAACGCCGTCTAGATGAAGCAGAAATGAAATGCTGAGGTTTGCTGGTGTCCCCAAAATTTGAACAAATTGGCTCCTGTTGCCCAGTAGATCTTGTTTTAACATGGAAAAAATCACAGCACCATAAAAATGGTATAAAAAGCATTATAACAACAATAACCGTAGAAATCTGCCTGACTTATGGAATATGGAGGTGTTCTTTCTGTGGTTTGTGGTGCTAAGGATTGACCTTGAGGGTGGCCAAGATCTTGTCTAACACGTATCCTCTAATTAGCAAGATCGTTCCTAAATGACGTTGTGAACTCTTGGAGTCTGTGGGGTCCTTCAGGTCACGGTTGCCCCAAAGATCCTTTTTCAGGAGGCAATTGGACTTCCTTGTTTTGTTTCTTTTGAAGGCATTTCTCATCCAAGAAGCTTCTTCAGCTCTGACAGGATGGTGGGGAATGGAAGGACTTCTATTCCTTGCGCACAAAGCTGGTCATTTGCATCCTTCCGGAGGGTCCTTGAGGCCACTTGGAAGTTTGTCTGTGTCCTCAGGGTCACCTGAGTGGTGCAAATGGTTCCTACAGTCCACAATTTTTTCCTCTGGAAATCCATTCCTCCTCCCATACCATTCCAAAGGTGTCCATCCCAAATTGTATAGCTAAAACTCTGTAGAGCGAACCAGCTCTCTGCAAGGAATATAAATCTTTCCATTCCCCACCATCCTTTCAGAACCGAAGAAGCTTCTTGGGTGAGAAGCGAAATGTCTTCAAAAGGAAAAGAAGGAAATCCGGTTGCCTCCTGAAAAAGAGAAAAAAACACCTTTGGGATAGCGAACTCCTGGCTTGCTAGGGAGCTGATAGCTGAGTGAGCGAGTGGTCAACTAAGGGGCAAATGGAGAGGGTTCAGGACGGGTCAGAGGTCTGGAGGAGGATGTTGTCCATCCGGTCGGCTCTCAGTGATTCTATGGACCGGCCTCTCCACGTCTTCCAGTCTTTCGCTCCTCCTTTGAGCTTTTCTGTGGTCGGGTCTCGATGCTCCGGCTGGGGTTCAGCGCTTGATGGGCTCCCACAAGTCTCACCTGGAGCAGTGAAAAGGACTTTTTGTTCTCGGCCCTTGAGAAATCCAGCCATTTGCAACTCGGCTGGGAATGGTGACCCGAAATGGAGGGCCTTACATCTCCAGACCCAGTTTGATATCCCTGATTATGTGGACCTCTCTCAATTCGACTTTTGAGTAGGATGTCATACGGAGACGGCTTTGGGTGGCCTTGGAGCGTGGCCTGAATCGGAGCCCGGCTGGGGAAACCGAGGCCTTCCTTTGCCTCCGCAGTCCCACCCGGAACATTTGCGGTGGAGGTTCCGTGCTATTCCCAGACGCCCAAGCGCAGTGCAGATCTTTCAGTCCCCTCTTTCCCTGGGCCGTAAGCTTGGCGTTGTGGTGTGGATAGGCTCATATTTTTAGAAGCTCGGAGGGTGTGAAGATGTCACTGCCTCTGACTGCAGCAGAGGCCCCGGGCCGGATCAGGTGCTAGCGGGATGCTGCCCTGGGGAGGGAGTGGATCGAAAGTGGGAGGGGGGCAGAGGAGGGTTTCCAGCCATCATGGCTGCCCTGAGTAGTCTGGGGAAGCAGCCAGAAGAATACCTCCGGGGGGACGTGGAAGCGGCTTCTAAGTGTAGAAACCCGGCTTGTACATTCACTCATGACCTGCTCCCACACCCGTGGCCAGGTCTCGTGGAACAGCCAAGGGGGAGGCGGTGGGGAAGGAATCCTTCCCTTCCTGGCGGCTCCTCTGCGTTGAAAGAGCTGCAGGCCATGGGCTCCCTTGGCAATTTCCCAAAGACCTTTTTAAGAAACAAACAAACAAACACCTGGGATTTATTTTAACGCCGGTTAATGTTTAGCACAGTGGAGGCTTGGAGTTTTTCTGCTCTGCCCCTGAAGGTCCCGGCTTCTTCGCCTGCGGTGTGCGCAGAGGTTACTGACACGGTTAAAGCCTGCTTCTTGGAAAGGTTTAATTCTTGCTGGCTGCCAAATCGGTGTTACGGAGGAATAAAGCAAGGAAGATCATTCCCAGACGCACGTGTTTGTGTGCGTGTGTGTGTGTAAAAAAGCAACTTAGGTTTAAAAAGGGGTGGAGCTTTGTTGAGTTTTTCGACCGATACAGCCGCCCCGCAGGAGCTGCCCTGATCCTATGGCTGCTCCCTCCGCATGCCTGTGCTTCCTTCAAAAGGAGGCAAGAGAAACTTTGCTCCGTGTCCATTTTCACCTCAGTGGACTGAAAATAGAACGGGCAGAACCCCGTCAGAAACACGAGACCGGCAGAGAGAGAGAGAAAGAGAGAGAGAGAGAGAGTCTGTCTCCGACACTGATGGCCAAATCATCTGTGAAACAGTTTTGGTCATGAGGCTCATGTGGGAAATAGATCCACGAGGGCAGAGGATTCTGTTCAGCGCCCTTTCCGAAAGAGATGGCTGGCAAGGGAGCCTCCTTTGCCCCAGACAGCCGTCCCCAGAAGAGAGGCTGCCCCACAGCAGAAGCCGCCCCTTCTGGACCACCAGACCACCAGAGCCAGAGAGGGCAGCTTTCGGGGGTCGCCTTCGTCCTTCCTGGCAACAGAACGGCCTTCCTTCCCCAGGGCTGAGCGTTGGGGGCCATGGGTATCATTCAGCGATTGCAGGCATGGACCCAAATCCAGGGAGTCCTCGGCTTATTGCCCCAATTGAGCCCACAAATGTCTGTCGTTAAGCGAGATGTTTCTTGAGTGAGCTTTGCCCCATTTTACAGCCTTTCTTCCCACTGTTGTTAAGAGAATCGCTGCAGTTTGTAAGTTAGGAACACGGTTCTTAAGTGAATCTGGCTTCCCCTCGGACTTGGCTTGTCAGAAGATCGGAAAAGGGGGAAATCAGGTGACTCCCTGGGGCACTACAACCGTCGTAAGTATGAGTCAGTTGCCAAGCCTCTGAATTGTGATCCTCTTTTTTTTATTGTTTTTTCCAATAGCCACGGTGGAGTGTTACAATCCCAGAATGAACGAGTGGAGCTACGTGGCGAAGATGAACGAGCCCCACTATGGCCATGCGGGGACTGTCTATGGGGGCCTGATGTACATCTCAGGTGAGCCAGCCCGCCCATCAACCCTTTCCCCACCCAAACCACACCTGCCGACCTCCAGTGCCAGGTGTCTCTTTCCCTGATGACCCAGGGTAGGATACAAAACAAACACAGTCACAGACAACAGGTGAAGCCCCTTTTATTCCTTCACTTTGCTTCCAAGCTCCGAATGTCTTTGACTGGAGACAAAAAAAACTCCCACACAAGCAGTTACAAGGAGGAGGAAATGTCCTTTAAATTATAAAGAGTAAAAAGCAACACAGACCAGGCAAGATAAGGGCTGGAAGATATCCACAAAGATCAGAACACACACTGGGAAGGATGCCAAACTCAGAGAGGAACCGTAAACTAGAAATATTGCCACGCTTTGTTTCCAGCACTGGCCCATACGCATGTCCGTCCTCTTGTCCAGTTGTCACAGCTGCAGTCCATGGAGAGGATCAAGGCCCTCTCCTCCCGAGGAGACCACGTCTCTCCCTTATCCTCTCTTCCCTGCGTGCCCTAGGATGGAGACGGGATGGGCCTGGGTCCTCCTCTGACTGCCCAGCCGGCCTCTGCCCTTCCCCGTCCTCCTCCACAACCTCTGGAGCCACACGTCCACTCCCTGTCGGCTGTTCCTCCTCTCTCCCTCGGAGTCAGTCCCCACCCGGGGCGTGGCACTCACTCTCAGAGAGACCCGACTTCTCTTTCCCGCCTCTTGAGTTTGTCCCCCAGACGGTTCAGACGAGGTACGCTGTTAAATCCCGGACTTTCCTCTTGGACATGCAGCTATTTCAGCCGGCCGTGATAGCCCCACCTTTAGAGAGGGAAATCCAGCTGATTGTTTAGGATGCACATTCCTGATCGGACTTAGAATCACAGAGTTGGAAAGGGACCCTGTAGGTCATCTAGCTGGGCGGCCGATCTGCTAAATGTCCCCTACTGGGAGAAATGGCTCCTTTTCAGTGGGATGGGAGGTTCCTCTGTATGGGCCCAGCCAGTCCCGCCAGTGGGTGAAAGCCCTGGGCGAAAGATTTGAACCCCAGGCGTTGAGCTAGGGGTCTTTGGAGCCCAATCCCATGAACCTCGAGGGGGAGTGTGGGGAAGGGGGGGGATGAGGAGCCAGAGAAGCCGCTTGGGGCTGCCCCGGCCCCCAAAGCAGCCCCAGAGCCCATAGGGCAGCGAGGAAGGTGCTGGATTAGGAGCCAGGTGCTGGTCCTGCCTTCTTAGCCACAGAGGTTGCCAGACTCCCCCCCCCCCTTTCCACCCCCCCCCCCCCCCCCCATGACCTTGAGGTGCTAGGAATCTTGGAAGCAGACAAACCAGCCGTGTTTTCCAGCGAGGAGGAGGAGGAGGAGGACAGAGAGAACACGCTACGTAATCGGTTGATTCTCTTTGTCTGATTCACACCCACCTGCCCTGCTTGAAAACCTGGGAACATCTGCGCCAACAAGATGCCTGTCCCCCCCCCCCGTCCCGAAAGAAGTTGCCTTGGGTGGGCAGGTGGGGTGGGGGGAGGATACCTACGTAGCAGGTGGCCTCCCCCCCCCCCGCCTTTCAGCCCTTCCTCTGACTCAGGTCTGGAGGCTTGGCTGAGATCGGCATTCAGGGGGCTTCATCCATTTAGCGGTGGGGGGGTGAGGCCCTTGCCTGCTGCCCTGGCCCCCCCTTTGCCCGCTGAGCTGTGAACGATACGGCCATCTGAGTGGGGAAGGCCGGACGGTGAGATGGGTGGCACACACAGGTAGTTCTCGACTTACAACACTTCATTTAGTGACTGCTCAAACTTACAACAGCAGCATTCCAAAAAGTGACCTAGGACCAGTTTTCACAGTTACGGCCTTGGCCGCATCCCCACAATCATGTGATCCAAATTCAGGCGCTTGGCAACCGGTTCACACTTACGACCATTGCTGCGTCCCAAGGTCAGGTGATTCCCCCCTTCTGCGACCTCCCGACGAGCAAATCCACGGGGAAGTCGGGTTCACTGAACAGCCGGGTGTCTAACTTATCAGCTGCAGGGACTCACTTAACAACAGTGCCAAGGAAGGTCGCAAAATGGGGCAAAGTCACTTGACAGGTGTCTCGCTTAGCCACAGCAATGTCGGGCTCGATTGCGGTCGTAAGTCGGGGACTACCTGTGGGCTTGGATCGAGAGAGAAGCTAGGGTACTCTCAAAGGCTTTGGTTGACCCTAGGGCTCCCCACCGGCCATTGATGGAGTGTCTGGCTTTCCCCTCCCCCCCCCCAGGTGGCATCACCCATGACACTTTCCAGAAGGAGCTGATGTGCTTCGACCCCGACATGGACAAATGGACGCAGAAGGCCCCCATGACCACGGTGAGGGGCCTCCACTGCATGTGCACGGTGGGCGACAAGCTCTACGTCATTGGGGGCAACCATTTCCGGGGCACCAGCGACTACGACGACGTGCTCAGCTGCGAATACTACTCCCCCACGCTGGACCAGTGGACTCCCATTGCGGCCATGCTGCGCGGCCAGAGTGACGTTGGGGTGGCTGTCTTTGAGAATAAGATCTACGTGGTGGGGGGCTACTCCTGGAACAACCGCTGCATGGTGGAGATCGTTCAGAAGTACGACCCGGAGAAGGACGAGTGGCACAAGGTCTTCGACCTGCCGGAGTCTCTGGGGGGCATCCGGGCCTGCACCCTGACGGTCTTCCCCCCCGAGGACAATCTAGCTTCGCCTTCGCGGGAGTCGCCTCTTTCGGCGCCTTGAGAGCGGTCCCGGGGGGGACCCTGGCTCTCCAGCTGCGCCCCACCGTGGCTCTTCTCAGCGGTTTTTTATGGGGCTCGCCCTGAAGCTGTTGGCAAATAACGGGTGGGGGGGAGTCGGGGGAGGCTCCGAGGAAAGATGTGGTGGGTCCACGGAGAGTTTGGTCTGGGGAGTTTCTCGCGGGAGTCCTGGAAAACGCTGCACTCCAAAGGCTCCGCGGAGGAGGAGGAGGCGGCGGCGGCAGGGCCTCCCTTTGGTTTTTAACTTGCAGGAGAGGGAAGGAAGAAGGTGGGCTGAATGGCAGGTGCAGAGCCCCCTTGCTAAGCCTGGAGGGGGGCTTCCTCATGGCTGGGGAGGGGGACCCCCCCCTTGGCCCCGGCTGCCCCCCCCCCCCCCCCCTTGAATGAATGGAGCGTTTTAGACTTCATGTCCGCGACTCAGCATGAAAAGGCCCTGCAGGAGTTTGGAAGCAGCGAAGGAGGTAGAGGCACTTGAGGTGACCTTGGATCTGTACATGGGGGGGGGGCTTCCACTCCCCTTGCCACCCCCCCCATTAAAAAAGCAAAGCATTAACTGAGGGTTTCTGTTCTTTTTCTCTTTGCCTTCTCTCCTCGCTCCCCCCCTCGCTGGGTGATACGGGGCCTCTGGGCGGCTTGGCTGCCCAGTGAGAATCTCTGCACTGGGCTCCGCAAGAGACAAGGGCTAGGACTCTCTCTCTCTCTCTCTCTGGCCAAGCCTCTCGGCCTCCGACCAGGCCCTCCCCTCCGGCCAAAAGCCCACCTGTGTGTCCGCCCCCACCTGGGCTCCTCCGACCCCTCCATGCACGATCTCAGTCCAGACGACGGTTATTCAGCACAAACAGAGGTTGGAGAGCTCAGACTCTGCCCTGTTTCCTTTTGTTCAATAAAATCTTCACCTGCACTCAGTTGGGAGTTTGTTCTTGAAAGGAAGGGCTCCTGGCTGGCCTCCCCGCACTCCCGTTGCCAGGTAACACTTGGTGTGTAGGTTGCGTGGTGTGTGGGAAGCGCCGCCGGCTGGGCTCCCGGTTCTGCAGGAGCTTCCACAGGGGGAGGCTCGGCCTAATTTGGCCCCAATGCCCCCGGGATGCCCAAACCCAGCCGGTGCAAGGGAGAAGTCGCCACCTACGAGGGGGGTTGGCCAGGCTGAGGGGAAGAGGCCTGGGGTCTGCGGTTGGCTGGTATTGCAGGGCTGGGTGGGGAAAGCGAGGGGGGCTCTTTGGGGGGCCCAGGCTCACCCAGAACACCCCGTCAGGGGTGCTACTCAAGGCCACAGGCTCTACTCGGGCCTCGCAGTGTGAGGGGTGTCAAACTGATCTAATAAAATGCAGAGGTAAACATGACACCGTCCCACCCTTGCTAGTTCCTCTCAGAGCCCTCCTTCCTCCCTTCTCTAAACGTGGAAGCTTTGGGTTTTGTTGCCTGCAATGCAGAACCCGGGTCAGCTGAGCTTACGGTCCAGAGGGGTCTGGCTGTGCGTCAGCTCTTGGCTGGTGGCAACGGCGGTGAGCTTGGCCGTCTAGTTGAAAAGCAGAGCCCGGCGGGTGCAGCTGGGCCAGGCAGGTGGCCAAAGCCAGGAGAAGGCTGGTCCTCCAGACGGGGAAGACAACCGGGCCGCTCGGGAAGGAGGCCGAGGGTTGTAGCTTGTCCACACCAGGAGGAGGAACCGTTTCTCACCTGTGGAATGAATGGCAGCCGTTTCTGCTGTCGCCTTCAAGGCCAGGATAGGTGGGGCCACTCTCAGCCTCCAGTCCCCCTTTATGGAGTTGGGAGGCTCGGCCTTTTTCTTTTTTTGCAGATGTTCAAGCCAGGAGTGTCCAAACTTGGCAAGTTTTAAGACCTGAGTTATGGGAGTTGGTCCACAAGTTGCCATGGTTTTGGGCACCCCTGGCTTAGTCCCATGGCCTGCTTGGAGCCCCCTTCCTCTCTCTTTCAAAGGGGCTCTGCCTTCCCTTTCTCCTCCGCTCATTCCTGGCATACTCAGCTGCTCCGGGAGGGTCCTGGGTTGAGGAAGGGGCTTCTGCACTCCTTGTCTATTTAAGCCCTTCCAGTGGCAGCTGTTTCCCTGGGGGGGGGGAACGGGGCTGAACGCAGCTGCAGGAGGCTTCTGGCCCAGCGGTCGACACCCGATCTCTCGGAGGTCTGGCAGGGAGCATTTGGGAGCCTCCCTTGCGCTTGGTCTGGTTCGGTACATCCGAGCGTTCCTGGGTGGGGGGGGCGGGGTTGGATGTTCTTGGTGGATTGAGCTCCCGAGAAGCCCCTTCCCAGGAGGCCTGGGGGTTAGTCGACAAATCCAAAGGCACCAAGGAGAAGCCCTTGACTAATCTTGCTGTTCTAGCTCCTTTCCGCTGGAGTGACAGCCTTCAGGGGCCACTGTTATCCAGGGTTTTGTTCTGAAAAATCCCCCCTGAACGCGGCTGAGCTTTGAGCAACTTGGTTTCCCAACCTGGCGGTAACTGCGGGGTCCAGCATCCTGCCAGCCCCTTCTCCAAGTCTCTCGGTCTTGTCAGCCAAGGAGCCAAAAACAGCCGGATGCCAGGAGGGGATTCTGCATTCCCTCTGGGACGGGAGCCAGAAATGTTGCCCCAAGTCATCCAGACAGAGAGAGTTGGGGTCTAATTTAAACGTGTGTGTGTGTGTGTGGAGGGGGAGGGCAACAATGCTGGTGGGAGAGGGGAGGGGATCTGGGAACAAGCCCTAGTTTCTTTTAAATGTCAGTCGAATTTTCTGCTTTGTGGGAGCAAGGAGAGTCGGCTCATGAAAAGAACGGCTGCCTTCGGCCAACCACCATCTCTGCCCTCAGGAAAAGCAGCAAATGGTTTTGGGGGAGGGGGTGTCCATCCCTCTCCCCATAGTTTGGACGGTTGTTGAGCTTTGCTGGGCAGACAAGGCCGCCGAGCACCAGCGCAGAGGGCATCACTGGACGTTGGCAGCCGCAAGGGAGGGTGGGGTCCTTCCAAAGAGTACATGCAGCCAACGGGGGGAAACCGATTCCCCGCTCGGCAAGGCGGGGGTTCCAGAAAGAGCAAGAAGACCTGGCAGGTTAACAGCCACCCAGCTCAGGAGTTAGATAAACCTAGATTCATGAGGGGAAGCGGCCTTCTGTAACGTAGGAAGGCTTCTTCTGCAAAGTCCCCTTTCCAAAGAGGGACGGAGAATGGGGCAGAGCGGAAGGATCAATCCATGCGGGACCCACCAGGAACTGGGGCGAGTCCAGCTCACGTATCTCCAGCCGAGGCTTTGCTGAATCCGAATAAGCTGTGTAAGGAGTTGTGGAAGTGGCCAGCTGATGTTCTCATCCAACCCTGGTTCTCCTCCAGCTGCCAAGAGAGGCACCATTTTTGTACGAGACAATTTTTCATCCTGAACAGACGATGCCAAGCTTCATTCCAGGTCACGGGCCTCGGAAGGGTGTTCTGCCTTTTTCCAGCACCGAACCCCCTTGTGATGAGTTTTGCCTTGATCTTTCCAACCTTCGTTAGATATTTCTCTCTCATCCCTTCCCTAGGGTTCTGGTCCTTCTCCTCACTTACCCACCTTTCTCTGACCCAGCCCCAAGGCATCCGAGAAGGCCGTGCATTTGAAGAAGAAATACATCCTTTGCAGGAACATCTGCATTTCCAGGAACTGGGATCCAAGGTCTAGGATCAGTTGGATTCCTGGAAGGTCTGGATGATTGGTGATGTTCCAACTTACGTCGATCGTTGTGTTCCAGAAGACCCTTTCTTGAGGACCAAGGTCTAGGATTCTTTGAAGCAGTGGAGCAGCCTCACGGGACCACCTGTTGGAAGACTGGTGAGCTTCCTTCTGCAGTTGGTGGACACCGGGAGACCAACGGTTGGATTAGATCGGGGGTCTCCAACCTTGGCAACTTTAAGACTTGTGGATTTCAACTCCCAGAATTCCTCAGCCAGCCACAAGTCTTAAACTTGCCACGGTTGGAGACCCCTGGATTAGATGATCCGGGGCCCAATTTTCTTCGGCTGTTGAGTGGCTAACTCGGCTGTCCGGAAAGGCTGTTGGGAGCCAGGACTGATCCGTGTGTCTGATTCCTGAACAAGCTTTTTGTTCCTCGCTGGTTCTTCCTGCTGGGAGCTAACGCCAATGTCTGAGCTTGGGCTTCCGAGGGAAAACCAGCCATTCGATTTATCATCTTTGTTGCCTGTAGCCTCTATTTATACCCCCGAGGTCTCAAAAGTGACCCCACTCCGTTAAAATGGATTCCAAACCACGCCAGCTCCGAGCGCTGCAGGTATCTGCACAGTTCTTCCTGCCCGTTTATTATGAAAAGGCTCAAGATGGAAGACTTGGCCCTGATGCCGGGATGATGTAACCCACTTAATGGAGCCTCGTTGCCACAGGGAAAATGCTAACTAAAACGAGATTTGGGGGAGGGTTACTTAGAAGAGCCCCACCCGCAAAAGACTTTGGAGATTGAATTCCTGTGGGATATCTGGAGCAAGTTGGGCGAAGCTAACCTGGGTGTGGATGAGCCCCTGTAAAGGGGGCGAGCGTGGAAAGGCGTGGCGCATTTGGGCTTCCGCTGCTGGCAAGAGCAGCGGTTGCAACTCCCGTTTTCTTCCCGTTTCTATTCCGTGGGATAAATAAAAACGGTAAGCTAAACAGGCGGATGGCAATAAAGGAGTGGTGGAATCTGGGCATTGTCCTTTGTCCTGGGTCACACATGGTACCAAATCCCGTCACTTGCAGCTTGTACATATATTTTGGGATAGAGGGGGCGGGGGGGGGGGGGGGCTGCCTCTGAAAGGGCCCCCGGAGGTGATGTCCTCTTTATTTTTGTAACTCTCCTCCCTGGATTGTAGGCAGAGGTGGGGAGGGGCCTCACCAGCTCGTCTTATGCTCTCTGCTGTAGCAGGTGGCAGCATTTAGCTTGGCTGATACCCGAACTAAGCAGTGCCAGATCTGCTTAACGAGTGGAAGGGACACCACTAGGAAATCCCAGGACTTTAGGAGAAGGCAGGAGTCCCTGCTGGAAGAAGGCAGGAGCCTTGTTGGCAACACTAAGTCCTGGAGTCTGAATCCACAATCCAGAGCCTGCAAGTCCCCCACCACAATGAAATAGAAGATGTTTGTCCCTAGTACAGCCGAGCTCAGCTTGGCGCTGCTCCATCCCTCCCTCCCCCCCCACAATGCTCTGAGATTTGTGGGGGGG